CGCAAATTTCGGATAGAAGTCATGCAGTGCATCTGATCCAGCTTTCAAATGTTTCAAGAAAATCATGCTTTACTCCATGTGCATATTTTTGAGGGTATGTAACGTGGTAATGCTCCAACGTGTTACATCTATTATACAGTATATAAGAGCTGAAGCTTGACTTTAAGAAAATCTAATTGCGATGTCTGTCAGAAAAAGCGCAATTGTATATTTTACACAAATTGGTAAGCCCGAATATACAAACACACAAAGACACTTTTTGTGGATGCCAGCGCTATAAAAAACCCCTACAAATGTTGAAGAGGTCATTGAATCTCTTATGATGTCAGGCCTTGATCGATCATTCTTATCATTCTTATGTTTCATGCAGTTTTCTTTTCTCTGTGCCCTTCTGTGCTCCTTCACTTGCTTTAGCACTCAGTTCAACCTGGCAGGATAAATAAGTAATACACAAGCATGCAGCTACTTTACTTCTCTAATGATTTAGTCATGCATTTTGCATATCTGTTTGGGAATTTGCGTTGAAGAGCTCATATTGTGCACATTCACTGGTTGGAAATGAAACTAGAATATGTTTGCATGCTTTACTGTTTAAAAAACAAACTCTTTTAATTTTTATTTTTTAAGCTTCCGTCTCTTTAAGGCCTCACTCCTGAAAAGCCCAGCTCTGCTATGATTCATCAAATGGCCAGACAAAAGCAAGGTGGCTATATACAGTAACCCCAGAGCTATGAGTATAGGGATGTACCCCTTGCAGAAAAGGCTCTAGTGAGGAAATAATAACAGACAATGAGAAAGTTGCATGCTTTGTCTGAAGATATGCCAAACTGGCTGCCAGAGGTGGGGTTATGCAAATGTGTTACATGGTGATGTAGATAAGAAACGGAAAAAAGGCTGGACATCAAACAAGGCATTTCAGGCAGGTTAGGGGCAAAGTTTTCTGTTAGACAGAATACTTCCCTTTTGGTGTGAACTTTGGGCTTTCTAAATTCGCAGATGTTTTACATGTACAAATAAGCTGTAATATACTAAAGGAAAGAGAAAACCACAAAAAGCATCACATGGGCTCTTTAACTTACAGTACTTGAATGTTACCTCAAAAAATGAAGACCTCATTGAGTTTTTTTTTTATAAACTTAAGCATTGGACAGTTGTGGATAAGACAATATTTCTTCCAAAACATGGCACCCTGAACAAAAATCTGCAAATAAATGCAATGTTGTAAGAAGAAAACATTTCTTTGATTTCATACAAAAGGTTTCTTATAACCCCTAACTTTTGGATGTTACATGGTCAGATACCTCAACAAAGAAACAATATCTATCTATCTATCTATCTATCTATCAGGGATGCACGATATATCGGCGAGCACATCAGTATCGGCCGATATTTGGGTTTTTTCCCGACATATTGGTCCGATGAAAAAATTGAGGCGATGTGAAAAACCGATGATTGTCTAACATTAGCAGATGTTTTTACTTAAATGGTCCCGGACTTGAACATTAAATATGTTAAAATATGTTTAACTATGTTTTACTTTTGTAATAAGGAAGACTATGTGGTCTAATTTGGTATGGGCTTCTTTTGAATAGTTTTTACATTCTCACGGTGCTTATTTATACTGGTTTTTCGGTGTGAACAAACACTGAATATCGACATCAGTAATATCAGTTATCGGCAATATCAGAAATCTTAATATCGGATATCGGTATCGGCCAGAAATTTTAATATCGTGCATCACTATCTATCTATCTATCTATCTATCTATCTATCTATCTATCTAGGGATACAATAATCTATCATTTTCTAGCAATTCCAATGCCTTCATAGTCAAATCAACTTCAGCTTTTAAATCTGCGTATCTTACTATGTAAAAATCGTTGATCTTTTTACGTAAGACAGTGTGACAGAGTCAATGCGATCAGAATTTTACAAAGAAACTGTTTTTAGCGCAGATAGATTATGTTGTGGCTGATCCTAAAACTGCTTTCCAGTAATACAAACGTATCAAGGGTTTAATGTCACTTTCCCGTAATAACGGATCATCTCTCACCATTGTACCCTTGTGAAATCCCACTCCTCCCCTGTGCAGCCTTTATGCTTCCCTGTTTACAATTACAATACACAATTTCTCCCACATATCGTTTTCCCCCTCATCAGCAAGGAGATGTAATTTCTTACCTGCTGTGTTTCTGTCAGGAAACCTGGAGTCCAGCTCGCAGCTGAGCTCTGCAGACAGACACACAGAGATCAGACAGGGTGACAGGAGGACATGAGGAGCTGGAGAGCAGCAGCAGCAGTGGAGGAGGAGGAGGAGGAGGAGGACTGACCGTGACAGCGCCTCTTCAGGTGTGTGATCTCCAGCTGCAGGCCAGTCAGCATGGCCAGGTGCTCCTGCTTCAGGAAGGCGATGCCCCTCTCCACACTGGCCACCTGCTGCTCCAGCCTCCCTGCATCCATGGCCGGACCCCTGCACAACCTGCACACAGAGGCTGGATGTCTCAGCATGCTACAGCTCTTTGCATTAGTGTCCCACATGGAGCCATGGCACTAAACAGCACTTGGTTGTTAAGCATCCATTGCAAATGAATAAAATAGCTCATATTCTTGCAAAAAGCAGTGATAAAACATCTGCTGTTTGTTCATTTGTAGGGATTATATTCGCTTTAACTGCCATTTCCCACCACTGACACTATATTACAATGATTTAATGCAAAATTTAAGGTTTATTAAGCGATTCTTTAAAAAAAAAAAAAAAAAAAATTGCAGCCTCCTCCGTCTTGTTTAATCTCATTCATTCTCCACAAGCTTCCTGATTTCTGCACCTGTAACTGAGCTTTCGTCTCCACCACTGGCTGACTGTGGCCTACCGTGATACCGAAGCGGGATCCTGTGCAAAGCTTCTCTCATGTATCCTCGTATCGGCCCGGTTCCGTGTGTCTGTCCTTGATGCAGCACTGAAGCAGGAAACAAAAGAGCCGTGCAAAAGCTTCAGTGTGCAGAACGACGCTCGCTTCTCGTTTTTCGCTGCACCCGGACGAGCCGTTTCGCTGCTGGCGTGTTTCTGAGTGGATCCTGCGGCAGCCGGAGTCGGAATAACCTCCTCATAACCTTCTTGTGGTTGTACGTGCAGCACGGTGCTGTGTTCACAACAAAGCAGCCCTGTATGAGGAGATACTAGTGCCACGGAGCAGGAGGAGGAGCTTCAAGGAGGTGATGGTACCAGCTGTTGCTAGCAAAAAAAAAAATCAAGTTTGAATTAATTTATTCTAAAAGATGACAGTGCACTTACATTTGTAGCAATCTTTTGGAAGAGCATCTTAAACGGAAATGAAAGAATGAGATGTACTGTATATGCTTCTTTTTCAAGTCAAAGTACCGGTAGTGTGAGTTAAAGTCTTTAATTTAGCTTGGAATTTTATTACATTTTTTCTAAGTATTTGTGTTTCCAAAACGCAGCATCTCTGAATAGACCCCATGAAAAGACCAACAACACACTATAATGATCATATGGAGAGGGGAGTCATAGACCAGAAATCACAGATCACTGACATGTTACACAAGTGGGACACACAGGGTTACCGTAATTTTCTGAATATAGCTTTAAAAAGAAAAAAGAAATCATACATATATAGGCCACACTTGTCTATAAGCTGCAGGTGTCCACGTTGTAACATAAGATATTTACACAGAAAGTTTTTCTTTTTAACTTTTAATTAAACACATACTGGTAACATACACAAATATGTACCGTGAATGCTTTTTTCTGGACAATGCCTGTAACATGGCTGGTTAAAAAAATTAAAAATACAGCAACCTACCAGGAAAAGTCATTGATCACTATCTTCATCTTCCTCCTGTGCATTAAAACCACTAAAGTTGTCTTCTTCCGTGTTATAATTGAACAGTCTCAGAATTACTTCATCACACACTTCCTCAGTCCCTCTTTCGTTGTCGCTCTCAATGTCACCTTTGTCTCAAGGTAAATTCGTAAAAATCGTAGAAATCCATAAATTAGCCGCATCATTGTTTAAGCCGCAGTGTTCAAAGTGTGTGAAAAAAGTAGCAGCTTATAGTCTGTAAATTACGGTGGTAAGGTTGTGTGATGCTGCATTGTTTTCCTGCTCTTCCTGAAGAAGACAGGGAAGTTGGGGGACATTTTTGGGGACTGGATCACGTTGACGTCCATTGTCAAGTGTATATTGACTGCGCGGTGCCCCACACTTGAAAAGGGGTGTATCCACGATTGAAGTGCTCGGATTTACTCAGGCAGAAGCTTTAAGTTCATTCCATTCTTTATTTTTGGAGTTTACTTTCGGGCTGTAGCCGTATTATCAGGTAAAAACCTTAAACACACAAATGCAGCATCATTACTTACAGTGAAAAAGTATAAAATATACATCACAATCTCATAATCAAAACTCATGTTCAAAATATCAAATCCTAAATAGCACATAAACCCTCAAACCACACACATTAGAATACAACTAATATTACTTATATTAACCAATATTAGCAAATTATCAAGCATAATACCACATTTAGAATTAACAATCATCTTAATTTAATCAAATCTACCCATCTAAAAGCAGCACCAAATTCATCAATTAGCATTACATAATCCATAAAATCCAGTATACACTTTATTGACTTTCAGCTAACATCTCTACTCTAA